TTATAGCATTTTTAACTTCAGCCTGACTAGATTTTAGTTCCTTTATCTCTGCAGTAGGGATTCTCTAGTCTTTTATGCTTTTTTCAAGCCTAGCTAGTATTCTTACAATCATTGTTTTAAATTCTGGTTCAGACATCTTACTTATATCTGCATTAAATCCCTGGCCATGAGTACTACTTCCTATTCTTTTTCTGGGGGAATGAATTTCTCCATCTTGTCATTTTGTCCAGAAAAGAAAAGAAGAAAGAAAGAAAGAAAGAAAAAAAAAAAACCCAACAAAACAAAAAAGCAAAAAAAACCCTAGATCCTATGTGTGTTTTGGTCTGCTTGTTAAAAGAATCTAGATCCAAAAATAAAATAAAACAAAACAAAACAAAATAAAATAAATATATAATAAAAAATTTAAAAATAATAAAAGTTTAAAAAGAAATTAAAAATGAGAAAATAAATGAAAAAATAATAATTAAAAACAAAGAATAAAAGTAAAAAGAAAGCTAGTCCCCTTTCCCCTACAGCTGAAGCTTTCCAGCCCTTTATGATCAGTAGACTTGGTGTCCCCAAGTTGTTTGAGCCGTCTTCCGGTGGGAGGGGCCTGTTGTACTGACTCTCAGGCTTGTTTCAGTGGAAATGCGACTCCGGTGCACAGGGCTCAGTGTAAACAGTTCCAGTCTCCACTAGGTGGCGCTGTTTCGCTCCCTGAAGGCTTTCAGCGCTCAGGGTGGGATGGGATAAATATGGCCGCCCAGCTCTCCAGCCCTGGAGATGAAAGTTTGCACCCCCGTCCTTCAGGGAGCCCTCACAGAAGAGCAATCACTCTTGTCTCCCCAGTTTCCATCAGAACTCTGTGTTCTTCTTGCTTGTGTCTGAGCTGTTTTAGGTCAGGCATGTGATAGATTTCAAAACTCCACATTTTAGGGACTCCTGGGGAGCAAACCTGTGCTGATCTCCTGGGGGAGGGTCTCCACTGGCTCTTGCCATTTGCTGGCCCATCCCAGGAAAGCTGTCGCATTCAAAGTTTGTCGCGACACAGAGCAGAAAGCTGGCACCTAGACCGCTGCTCCCAGCTGGCTTCCCTACTCTCATGCCTGGGAACAGGACAGCACTTAGACACTTCCTGTCTTCCTGTGACGCCAGGGATCCTCAGACCACCCTATCACTCCTGGGACTCTGCCCCACATCACCACCTGAGCACCTTTAAGCCAGGCACATGCCCCATGGTAGCGGACTTCTAAAAGTTCTGATTTTGCCCTCTGCTGCTTATAATACTTCGCGGTAGCCTCCTTAAGCAGCCTCCCTCCCCACCACAGTACCTTCAGTTTTGCCTCCCCCCAGTCAACTCTCTGCACCTCCTACCTTCCAAAAGATGGTCGCTTTCTACTTGCAGACTTGCACTTTTTGTTCTCTCAGACTTCTGATTGATTTCTAGGGTGTTCAGAATGATCTGATGACTATCTAGCTGTATTTGAGGGACCAGACAAGCTTAGAGTCCCCCTACTCTGCCATCTTATCTCCTCTGTTAGGTTTCTTTAGAAGAACTTATCTTTTTTTTTTTTTACTGCTTCTTACAAATGGTATCTTTTTTTAAATGACATTTTCTAACTTTGCTGCTTGTATACACAGATGCGGCTTTTACTTTTGCATATTAGTCTTTCTTTTGTCCTGAAGTCTTGCCCAGCTCACTTGCTAATTCCAAAATTGGTTTGTAGGTTCTTTGGGGCTTCTTCTTAATACTAATAATGGTTGCATTTATACACAACATATGACATGTGCCACCAGGCACGGCTCTAAGTATTTTAGACACTTCCAATTTTCACATAGCCGTGGGTGCCACCATTCCCACTTACACATTGATGCTAGGAAATGTTAAAATAACCCGCTTAAGGCCACACAGCTAGAAATGGTCAGAGTTGGGATTTGAGTTCTGGCAGCCTGGGGCTGAGTTCACATTATTATTATTATTACTATCATTTTTTAAGATTTATGTATTTATTTGGGGGGTGCAAGCAAAGGGAGAGGATCTTCAAATGTACTATTTGCTGAGCACGAGCTGGACCCGGGGGCTTGATCTCATGACCCTGAGATCATGACCTGAGCTAAAACCAAGAGTCAGACACTTAACTGAATGAGCCACCCAGGCGCCCCCTGAGTTCACATTATTAACCACTAGGCTCTTCCCACCTTTATACCATCTCTCCTGGCTGACTTGTCCAGGAGAAGAGTGCATATAAGCAGGGAAAGCCACTAAGCTCATTGATTCTAACATTTTACCATTACATATGACATTTTAAACAATTTTGAAGATATCTTTTATCAGATTAAGGAGAGCCCCTCTTATTCCTAGTTTGCACATTATTTTTTTAAAAATTATGAACAGGTCTTGAGTTGTATTAAGTAAGTGTATCTTTTCTGATGATAGCAGATTTGTCAATTTCTCCTTGTAGCTCTGGCAATTTTGCTTTATCTATTTTGAGATTATTCTAATGCAGCAAGTTTAGAACTATACATCGCCTGAATGCATTGCAGTGGTTTTTATTTATCTCATATTTTTATCTCGCAATGCCCTTGCCTTACAGTCTTATTTGTCCGATATCAGTAAAATGCAACCAGATTGCTTTTGGTTAGTATGTGCTTGGCATATCTTTTTCTATACTTCCATGTTTATCCTTTCTCTGTGTCCTTTTGTTTTACATATGCTTTACATAATATATATTTGGAAAATATCTTCTGTAGTCTGATCATGTTTTTTTGCATCAATGGGGCTTAGTCTATTTATATTTACACTGATCCCTGATACATTTGGAATTATTCCTATGACTTTATTTTGTGTTTTCTGTTGGTGCTGCTTTTTTTCCTCCTTCCTTGTTTTGCATTTGAGTGAAGTTTCTTTTTTTCCAATTTGTGTCTTTAATCTCCCATTTTTTAGTGGTTACCTTTCACATTTTTACACGCATAGCTAACACATTCGGAAGTTGAACAAGATATTTAGGCTTTCCTGAATAATATAAGGATGCTAACAGGCCTCAATTTTATTCTCTCTGCCCCCATCTCAGCTTACATGTTATTATTTTACCGAATTTTAATTCTACAGAAGCGAAGTAGTTTAAGCTGTGGATTCTGGGGACACAGGGTCTGGTTTGGGCCCTCGATCGTTAACTTACCTGCTGTGGGACTTTAGACAAGTGACTTAACCTCTCTGTGTTTCCGTGACTTCAACAGTAAGAGGGGGATAATAATCATACCTACTTCTCAGGGTTGTTGAGAAGATTCCATGAGTAAGCTCTATCAAGCTCTGAGAATGTGCTTGGCACATAGTAAATCTTCAAAGATGGTTAGAGATCATTGTCATTATTTTACCCCATAAATTAAAACCCATGTATATTGTGTATAATTTATGTATATGCATATGTATTGATGTAAATACACATCAATGTATGGCCACTTCTAAGATTTCTTTGGTTCTGGTATTTCAAGTTTTACTTGGATGTACTAGTTAAAGAATTCTTTTTACATATGCTGATTGGGAAACTGATTCTTGAGTCTGAGAATTCATATATTGCACCAATTCTGGAAAAATTCCCACTATGATTATCTTTTTAAATGCTACCTCTCCAGTTTCTCCAGTCTTACCTTCAGAACTCCACTTACACATGTATCAGAACTTCATCTTAGCATTTTCATATTTTCCGCATCTTTTCCCCTCTTGTATGCTGCATTCTAGTTAATGTCTTCTTCTTTTTTTCCTTAGCAGACTCCATGCCCAGTGTGTAGCCCAATGCAGGCCTTGAACTCATGACCCTGAGGTCAAGACCTGAGGTGAGATCAATAGTTGGATGCTTAACCAACTGAGCCACCCAGGTGCCCCCCCTAGCTAATTTCTTTAGCTATATCAACTGGAAGTTGGCCATTTTTTTCTTAGCTGCATCTCATCTGCTATTTTCCTTGTCCCCTGAATTTGCTTTTATTAAACATTCTGATGCCAATTTTCAAACTTAAAAGAAGAGAGAATAATTTAATGACTACTATGTTGCACTTGTAACCCAGCTTCAGCAATTAATCCATGGCCAATCTCGTTTCATCTTTTCTCCCACCCATCCATCTGCCCACCCCACATTATTTCAAAGCAAATCCCAGACATCTTATCATCCATTGAATTTATTTTTCAATTATTATAGGTTTTGTTTCTGAAATCCCATTTGCTTCTTTTACTAATCTGTTCTTTCTGGGTAATTTCTTATTCTTTACTGATACTTTTATTCTCTTTTTCATGATTTCAAACATTAAATACACTTATTTTATATTCTGTAACGGATCATTTGAATCCTTGCTATCTTTTGGGATTTGGTCCTCTGATGTTTCTGCTGACTCTTGATCCTGATAACTTATTTGTGTGTGTGTGTATTTTAACTTCCACATAGAAATACATTTTCTTTTAATTTAAATTTTAGTTAACATACAATGCAACATAGAAATAAATTTTTTTAAAGATTTTATTTATTTATTTGAGAGAGAGAGAGAGACAGAGATAGCGAGAGAGCATGAGTGGGGAGGAGAGGGAGAAACAGGTTCCCCACTGAGCAGGGAGCCCAATGCAGGGCTCAATTCCAGGACGCTGAGATCATGACCCGAGCCGAAGGCAGACTCTTAACCGACTGAGCCACCCAGGTGCCCCTAGAAATAAATTTTCTGAAAACACAGATATTAATTGTCCCATGCCAGATGGTCCAACAAATTTCCAATAATGTAATCTTCCCAATCTTGCAAGAAAATTTTATTCCTTTGAATAGATAAAGAGACCAAAGCTCTGAGAGGTTAAATACTTGTCTGAGGCCACACTGTTCATAAATGCCAGAGTTGGTGTTTGAACCCAGGCCCGCCTCTCCACATCCCTGCCCTCCCACAGTCCACCATCCATAGGGAAACTGACACCCAGGTATGAATCCTTGAGTGCCTGACCTCCGTTGACTTGGGGCTTCTGGGGGTTTCTTCATGGGGTTCCACAGGAGCCCCCGAGGAGACGAAGAGCCTCATGAAGGCCTCCTACACCCCAGAGGTGATTGAGAAATCAGTGAGGGACATAGAGCACTGGCATGGCAGGAAGACGGACGATCTGGGTACGCGGGGTGCTGGGCTGTGGGAGGCGGGCGCTCCCTTACCCGGGCAGCGTGTGTTGGCCCCAAGGTGCAGAGGGAGACCAGAGCAGCAGGTAGAGCTCTGGGGTGGGCCTGGGAGAAGCATGGATCACCTCTGGGGCCCGGGCACTCCAGAAGTCCTCTGGGTGATCTGGGCTGGCTCTTTCCCTGCTCTCTGCAGGACGGTGGCACCAGAAAAATGCGATGAATATGAACTTACAGAAAGCATTGGATGAGAGATTTGGAGAAAAGAGCAAAAACAAGAGCTCAAAGTACTAGATACGACTGGGAAGAGTTGCCCTCCACTCAGAGAAAGCGCTAACAATAAAGAAAAACACAACTGAATGTTCTCCTCTTCTTGTTGCTTCCCTTCACGTTGGGGTGGGGGCAGATGTGCGGTACTGGAAAGACCAACTGGGGGAGGAGAGAAGCCCCAAGAGCCCAAACTCTCCTCAGACCTTCCCCCTAGACATACACCCCTTCCCTCATAATTCCAGGACAGGATGTGGGAGCTGAGCGCCGCTTGGCTTCTCCCTCATGTCCTGTGGGAGGGGCCTCACAGTGGACACTGCGGGAGTTTACCTTGCATGCCCTCCCTAGCTGAACCCCGATTATTTTCAGACATCATTCCTCCCCCAGGAACCCATGGACTTCAGAGAAATCAGGCATGCCCCCCCCCCCCCCCCCCCCAGTGCAAGGGTGGGTTTGATTGGTCTCAGGGTAATTCTCGCCTCTCTCCCTGCGCACACAAACTGATTGGTTCAGAAATGGGCGTATGACTCAAATTGGGCCAATGAGATGCAAGGAGAGGTGCGGGTGTGTGGAGCCTTCTGGGAAATTCTTTTGTCCACTGGGAGAGCTGGGAAGCATCCCTCTCTCCTGTTGTGTTGAGTGAGGAATGATGCAGTGCAGACTGCTCCTGGCGGAAAATCTGGGACCGGAGGAATCGCAGACGCTGGGGCACGATCTGGATTCTCCTTGACCTCACTGAGCTGCTCCATCCACCTGGCCAGAAGCCACCACTTCTGGACTTCTTATAAGGCAAGCCTGGGCAACTTTTCATTGTTTAAGACAAAGTCATCATTAGCCAGTCAAGGTCCCTGGTAACAACAGGGGAGGGACCTGGGGACTGGGTTCCCAGGGAAGAGTTCTCCAGGGATGGGGTTCCAATTTAGACCGTCATGTCTACCAGCTGATCCCGAAGGGCTTTACCTGGTGGGTCTCCAGGCCAGCAGCAGTGTCACTGACATGCATCCTCAAAACTTGTCCCACTCATGGGTTGTTGTTTCCTGTGTTCCAAACCACCCTTAAACCAAGAGGCTTAAAACGACAATGATCATTTATTTGCTTGTGATTATGCAATTTGGCTCGGTGTGACTCATTTCTGCTCCATGTGGCGTCTGTTGTGAGAATGACAGCCATTCTCACATGCCTGGTACCCGGTGGGGATAAGTGCCATAGCTGGGGGCTGCCTGGGCATCACTCTCTCCCCATGGGGCCTTCCCTTGTGACTAGCTTGGGCTTCTTCTTGACATAGTGATGGCATTCCAAGGAGCAGCTTTCCAAAGGGACAAGACTCTAGTGTGTAAGAGCTTATCACACCTTGCACTGGCTTGTTAACGTCCCTGTGGTCAAAGGGACATATGGTCCAGCCCAGACTCGTACTAAGAGACTGCACAAGAGTATTAGCATAGGCGGGACAGGTTCAGGTTCAATAACAGTCTACCACAGTGATCACCATGCTTTGGAAAAATTGAAAGCAGATCGCTGTCAGGAGAAGGGGAACCACAAAAGGGAAAGACTTTTTTAAGATAGGATTGGAGCAGGATGCAGCATGGGGAAGTGAGCTTGGTTTGATTTAATATTGATTGGGTACCTAATTATGTACGAGGTGCTGAGTTCAGCTCAACTTCTTTATGGAGTATGTAATTTCTTTTTTTTTTTTTTTTAGATTTTATTTATTTATTTGAGAGAGAGAGAATGAGAGACAGAGAGCATGAGAGGGAGGAGGGTCAGAGGGAGAAGCAGGCTCCCTGCCGAGCAGGGAGCCCGATGCGGGACTCGATCCGGGGACTCCAGGATCATGACCTGAGCCGAAGGCAGTCGCTTAACTGACTGAGCCACCCAGGCGCCCTGGAGTATGTAATTTCTACAAGGCACTGTTCTTGTGCTGGAAAACCAGACTTCATTTTTATTGAGGAGCTACTATCTGCTCATCACAACTTCGAGCTGAAAAAACACACCACCCTGGGTGTTGTAGCAATAGCAGACCTCATGCTATTCTGACCTAGAAATTGTAATATGCCTGGTGCATATGATTGTATGTCCAATGCTTTACACACACAACCTTCTTTCATCCCGACACCAGTCCTCAGAGCTAGAATCTTTATGAAGATGGGAAATCCAAGACTTGGAGAAACCAAGTAAATTGCCCAAACTCATGCCACTAGGAAGCTGGGATCGGAAGTCCAGAAATTTCTGACCAAAGCCATTTTCTACTCTACCAGACAATCGTACTCTCATGTCAACAAATACATACTGAGCACCGCAAACACTCAGCCCTGTTAGGCACTGTGAGGGACAGTGATGTGAATCCAATAAAGTCCTTGTCCTCAAGGATGTTCCGGTCTGCAGAGGACTGATGTGGAAAAGGCTGGCCTTGGGGCTCATCTATCCAACTGACCAAATTGTAATGTGCATCTACCCTCTGACTAGCACTGCCCAATGAATGGGGAGTTGAGAGGTGAATAAGACATGATGCCTGTCCTTAAGGAGCCCAGAGTCTGGTGGAGAGACAGATATATCAGTGCATGGATGCTCAGAAGTTTTGCAGATGCAGTGAGAAGTTCATCCAAGGCAGAGGAAGTACAAAGGAGAACTTGGGATGGGCTGGAGCTGGTGGTCACAGAGGCATTCACAGAGGAGGTAGCTCGAGTCTTGGCACATGAATAGGTAACTCAAGTGGATTGGAAGAGACAAAGCATTCGAGGCAGAGGACACAATATGAATAAAAAGCCAGTATGGTGTCCTTGGCCACCGATACAGCCCAGGGGTCTTGCTAAGCTTGGAGGGTAGGGCTCCCAAGGTGGGGCACAGAGATCAGGTGGGAAAGACAGATGGAAAAATCTGTGCCTGGACGGGGCTGCGCCCTGGGAGAGCCTTACATGTGAGATCCAGCCCCTTCCTCCAGAAGCTCATAACCTAGCCAGGACAGAGGGTTCATAAGGACTGAAGTAGCCAAACAGAAGAGTTGAGAAGATGCTCAGCATCTCCAATGATCAGAGAGACACAAACTAAAACAAAGTCCTTGGGTTGGCAACCATTCAAAAGCAAGTGGAGGTGAGGTGGAAAGTGGGACCTCTCATACAATCCATGAACTGTGAATGCACAACAGCAAGGAAGAATTAAGCAAAATTGAAGTCCTATAACCTAGAAACTCCACTCTCTGCAGCCTGGAGAAACTCTCACATGATCACGAGGAGCCCCGCACAAAGACATTCACCGCCGTGCTGTGTGCACGTACATGTCTGCCAGCAGGAAAATGGACAAACGGGTAATCTACAGCAGGGGAAAGGAATGACCCAGGTCGCCAGATGGCAGCATAGAAAGATCTCACGATACGTGGCAGTGGGTTCTGGAAAAGACAATCTGCAGAACAAGCCTTACTGTATGAAATGGCACCATTTGTGCATCCTTCAAAAGGCACACACAGAGCCCCTCATTGCTCATGGAAGCAGTGATGAGTAGCAGAGGTGGATTGGAAGGAGGCAGACATTCAGCTTCACATTGTATTTATTTAGCTCTTTTCAGATACTTTGCTTCCTGTAATTGCCAGAGAGTTGCCAAAAGGGGAGCTGATTTAACATCAAGCCAGCGATTTCAATTTTGACATAAGCGAGCAAATGTAACAGGTGTCATGACTTTGCCTCAGCTTAAGATTTGACCCCAGAGCATTAAGATGAACTCTTTTAGGTTAAATATTGAATATTCAAGAGAGAGAGAGAGAGAAGCCATAATACAGGCAAAATAAAACATGCATAGATTTTTAAAAAACTAAGTCCTTTACCCATTGGTGCTGTTTCCAACACTGTTCCTTGTTCTTCATTCTCCTGAAGTCCCTAGACGGTGGAATTCACAGTGATTCTTAAAGTTTCAAGGAGGTACAGGGACCAGGTCTTAAGTAGCATTAATTCACATGGTGGAAAAGTTATCTATCCTTTAATCCATGCCATCCCATTTGCTCAGAGTGACTCAGAACCATCTTCTTAATTTCTCTTATACCCAAGTACAACCTGAGAGGGAACTTAAAAAAGCAACCTCTGATGCTCCTCGGGAGAGCCAGCCCACCTGCCTCACTTGGCTATTATCTTGATCCAGCTCTACCCCTGGTGGCCGTGTCTCTAAATTGCAGGCTGAGTACGTAGGATTCATAAATCCAGGAGGTACACGTTAAGGAGGGGACCTAGAGAGCATTAGGTTACATCTTTCTAACCATGTCTTTTCTGTCCTCCACCCATAGCTCCATTTACAGATGAGGAAACTGAGGCCCAGTTGAAGGAGTTTATGTCTAATCTGGAAGTGAACAACCATGTGGCCAGATTTGCAAATCCAACCGTCCACAGTGGTGTGGGGTGGCAGGCAGAGCCTTCTCCCGTTCTCCCTCCAGGAATCATGGCCTCTGAGCTGCAGCAAAAGCAAGGGAAAATCCAAATGCAGCTTTGTAGTCTAGAGGCAACGAGGGACTTTATAGCCATAGGGGATTCTCACACTGGGCTTGAGTCCCTGGGAAGAGCACCTGACTTGTCAGAGCCTGGCACTCATGTCCAGCAGAGGTCTTTGTCAGGATTACCTGAGAAAGTGCATGGCCAGGGTCTGGCACAGTGCAGAGCCCTCTTACAGGTGCAATGAACGCTTGGTCTTTTCTTTCCTTTCCTTCAGGACCAGGCTGCAGGGAACACTGCAACATGCTAATAGGTGTTCTGTAAAAATTGTCCCATTGTCAAGTGAATTTGGGTGACGCTGGTTTAAATAACCCTAACAGATTTCTTTTGTGCAAGACTTCTTAGAACTGGGAATATGCTAAAATTCCTTGTGTCACTCCAAATTCTTGCATGTAGGGTTCCGCTTCCCATTGTGCCTGGTGCAGATAGAGCGAGCCGCTAATATCTGCAACAAGAATAATGATTTTATTAAAATTGCAGGTTTGGAAGCCTGGAAAGTCAGGCCAGGAAGAGTAACCCTGTTTTGGGGGGGGTGGTAAATGGGTTGATGTGTGAACCAAGATGCTCATTATCAAGGTTTCTGCAGAACTATGGCTGTCAAAGGGCCTGGCACCCCTTCCCTCTGGTCAACCCTGCAGGCAGCCCACCTGGGGAGCAGATAAGTAATCAGAAAAGGCATGAGCCTGTCCTTGGGACGGGGGGCTGAGGTTTATGACTGGTATTGCACCAGGCAGGCTGAGGGAGGGCTAGCCCAGCCTCCTGCTCACTGCCCTGTGTTGCTAGCGTCCCCGGTTTACCAGCAAAAGGGTGACCGCCCCCCCCCCCCCCCAGGCAGTGGCCAGGAGGCAGACCTGGTCCTCTCCTATTCCACATCTCC